GATTAGGATAATAAAGGGTCTCAGGATCATGCTACATGAAGATGGGCTAAAGGAACTGAAAACATTTCTCTCAAAGAAGAAGAGACTTAGGGGAAGGATACAGAATTATAGGATCATATATCTAGAAATGTAAGGGACCTTAAAAGTCATCTAGTCTACCCCACCCCGCCCCCAATATTGCAGACAAAGAGACTGAAATCTTGAATATGATAGGGTTGTTAAATGGAAGAAAAATTAGATTTGTTTTCCTTGGCCTTAGTGGACTGCATTAAGATCTGTGCGTGGATGTTTCCAAGAGGCAAACTGAGGTTAAAATTAAGGAAAAAATTCCTAACAGTCAGAGAGGTATCCAAAAATGTGCTGGAGAAGTAATGAGTTCCCCCTTATTTTAGATTTTTAGGCAAAAACTGAAAGACCAGAGAAGATTCTTGTACAGTCGCTGATGGGCGCAGATGGCATCTGAAGCCCCTTTAAATTCCAGAACTGTCATTCTGTACTGGGAAAGTACTTTATAAACTACAAAATGCTAATGTATGAATGTGAAATATTTAAGATTTAACAGATAGTGAATGAGTTCTGTTCTATGAAAGGTACCATTACCTATTTTTATTTCTATTACTCCACCTTGCAAACAAGCTCCTATATCATAGGCTTCTTCATTAAATTATGAGTTTGGACACAAGATCATGCCTTAGATATTTCACTCCTTCTGACCTTTGCCTGTGTATAATAGTTGGTCAATGTGTGTTTAAATGATTGAATAACATTTAGTCAGCCCTGACTGCCCCATCATGAGTCTCTCATTTCTTATCTGTTTGACCTTAAGCAAGTCACTTAACCTTGTGGGACCTCAGTTTCCTCATCTATCAAACAAAGGCATGGGACTTGATAAACATTAAAATCTCTTCTTGTTCTAAATTGTATGTTAACTACAAATTCGCAAAATCAGCACATTTCTTTAACAGTGATGGAAGAGTACTATAGTCACAGTCCAGACCAGTGTCTTCTCATGGTAGCAGGGATACAGCTAGAAGAAACTCTATGATCATTTTTAATGTGATGTATGTAGTAGTATATTAATCTTTGAATACTGCATTATCCAGAGCAGGAGTCAGCAGACTATGGCCAGGTGTCCAAATGCAGGCTGTTTTTGTAGGGCAGTGAGCTAAACATGGTTTTTTACATTTTCAAATGAAGTTTCATTGTGTTTTAAAATGTGAAAACTATTCTTAGTTTACTGACTGTACAAAAACAGGCTGCTGGTGGGATTTGGCCCTCTGGCATTTGCCAACCCCTGATCTGGAGGACAGCTATATAAATACTTAACTTCCAGTTTGTTTACTCCATCTGACAGCTGTGTTGTTGTTTTCTTTATGAAGCTACATATTGATTTTAAGAAAAGAGGAGGAGGAGATACATAGTGGAAGGGAGGAAGGGCTGATAGCCAGAGCAGGTAGTTACTGTTACCATTAAGCTGAGGCAGTTTGTCAGCTTTCCTGGGGACTTCCACACAAGTGGTTGAGTCATCAGGCTTTTTCTGGGGAAGCCAAATCAATTCTACCACCTCTGGTAACCATTACCTTCTCACACACGCAATCTAATATACAGCCTGTTGGTTTCTTAATAACTGAACTTTTTCATTTTGCCCTGGTAGGTTTTCAAAAGTCCTCAAATTGAAATTTTGAGATTTTATTTTTTAACTGTAGACCATAGCTTTTTTGCTACATTTACTTTATGTATTTAAGAAAAACTGTGTAGAGGAATATTATAGGCCTTTTACTGCCAGAAATCTTTATAATAAAGTGCAATTGCTAGTTGAAAATAAAGTAAGCTAATCCATTCTTCTTCGATATAAATAAAAAACATGGCATGTTATACAAGTAATGATGAGTCAGTATTCAAAATAATATAGCCTGTCTGCTTTTTTACTGGCCTGCTTGATCATGTGTAGGACTGATTAATTTGCAGTGGTCAATAGGTTTAGGTCTAAGATGTGTGCATCATGTCATCTCACAGAGCGTATATCCAATCCTGAGGATGGGATGACTAAAAGTCCAGTGCCAGGTAGATGGAAGGAATTGTTAGGAAATTAATAACTTCTCCCTCATTCAATTCACTTTCAGAAACTAATTGTTCATTTGCTTAAGAGTCATGCTTTAACTTGTTCATCACAGGTGAATGTATATCCTGAACTTGTCTCCCTATTGCTTACACTCATACATACTTGTAAAATCCCAAAGTAGTTTCATTTGTTAATGATACTGATGGCTGGTAACCAAGATATAACCCCATGGGTAAAGAAATACCCAGTTTGAAGTATAAACAGCATAATTCTTAAATTGGCAATTTGTTACTAACATTCCCTATTCTGAACTGGTTTTGATCAAGCAGTTGTGAATTCTAGATTGCACCAAACAGCAATCATATCCATTCTATCTTTTAAAGAACAGAAGACATATATGTAAAGGGAGGTAAAACAAGAAGTTTGGGCTGTTAAGGAAAAAGTTGATACATGAACAAAATTATATAGCTGTCCAATCTAACATTTCTCAGGTTTTCCCTTTTATTCAGCAATCACTTGTTACGTGCCTACTATATGTGTAGCCCTGTACTAGGTCTGGAAAAGATAAAAAGTTTAGACAGGACATGGTCCCTGCTTTCATGGAACTTATGGTCTGAGATGCAAGCATCCTTGTAAAAAAAAGTTATATAGATATCTTTTGTTTTTTACATCACCCAGATTTCTTCAGTATCCTTCTCCTCACTCCTCCCAAAAAGCTATCCCATGTAACAGAAAATATATTTTAAAGAAAAAAAAAAAAGAAGAAAAATCAGGCCAATCAATGCATTGAAAAAATCTGAAAATATATGCAATTTTCCACATTCATGGACCTCCTGCCTTTGCAGAGGAATTGGAGAAGGTTTAGTTATCCTTTGGGGAAGGGAGATAGGGCAAGAAGCAAATAAGTATTTATGTACCACCTACCATGTGCCAAGCACTGTGCTAAGCATTTTACAAATATTGTCTCATTTGGTCCTCACAACATCCCTGGGAGATGGGTGCTTACTATTATTTCCATTTTACAGATGAGGAAACTGAGGCAAACAGAGGTTAAGTGATTTGCTCACACAGCTAATAAGTGTTTGAAGTTAGTTTTGAACTCAGGTCTTCTTGATTCTAGGTCCTAGGCTTTCTCCACTGAGCTACCAACTGCCTTGAGGCCATACTTGTTCTTTGTAATTTTGCAGCATTCACTTTTCATTGTTTTGTGGTTATTGCTTGTTCCATTTACATTGTTGTAGCCATTGGGTATGTTGTTTTTCCTGGCTCTACTTACTTCCTCTGTGGCCAAGTGAACTATACTTTAGCGGTATCTATCTCCTCTAAACCCTAAAACTGGGGTTGCCTTCAGCATTACGCCAAAGAACTAACAAAATAACTTTGAAAAGTTGCTTGATAATACCAGTAATCTAAAGTGGGCTGCATGCGGCCCACCAAAGGATTTCGGGCAGCCTGAAAAAAATGTATAGGATGTAAAAGAAAGTAAAGATGTAAAAAATGCTTTGTCCATGTCCCACTTAACCTGCCTTCTACTAGTCACCATTGTGCAGGTCATGGGTCATGTAACTTGGTGGGTGGGTTGCCACTGCATACGCCTTCCTGTTTGTCACGTGACCTGCGGCAACCAACCACTGTCAGTCTGTTTCTAGTCTGAGAGGACCGAGAGCAGTATCTTTTTGCTGTGTTTTCCAGGGTTACTAAATGTAAACAGTAAGAAAACGTGAAAAGAAAACTTGTACTGTTTAGCAAAGTAATTTTTTAACATTAATGTGGTTTCATGATAAATGAAAATCTTAAGTAATAAGTGTAAGTAATTGATATTAATTGAAATTTCCCTTTTTTAAAATATGGTTTATTTGCAAAATAATTTAATCATTAATTGTACCTGTACTTGGAAAGTGAGCTGCTAAAAACCTACCTATAGCCAGAAGAAGTTTAGCCTATTTTAATTTTGGCCCTTACCTACTACCAGGTTGTGCAGGTCTAATCTAAAGAAAGTCAAGCTTTCTTCAAAGATGATTTATGTTGAAGGCAAATTATCAGATAATTTCCACGTACTAATTCTAATAAAAATGTTTTTAATACTGTATGTGATGTTGATGGAAGGATTGGCCACAGCTTGCAGTACTTTACATCGTAGCCTATGAGAACCTAGGATCACCTGTTTGCTAGCAAGCATTATGATGAAGTTTGAAAACATTTAGATACCCAGTGTAGGAACAGAATGGATCTATCATTTGAGGAGCAGCTCAGAGAGACTCATCACCAGAAGGTCTCTAGATGATCATCTATTTTAGCTGCAGCAAACATAAAACTGTCTACTGAAGTTCAGAGGGGTTGCAGTTTAAATCAGTAGAAAGAATCCTCACATTGACAAAATTGTAAAGCTTTTAAAGTATAAAAATGGGATTTTCATAAAAGTAATAATGAAGCTTTTTTGTTTTGATAACTTTAAGAATAGGATTTGAGTTTTTGTTTAAAAAAGGAATTTCAGCACAGCCTTGTATATACATTGGACATTCTTTACTCAGAGGTTTTTTTGCTGGTATTTACCACTAAGAAAATGAGTATTAGAGTGTTTTCAACTCAATTCAGTAAATATCTGTTAAATACCTACTGCGTACAGGTAGTTTCTCTTGTGTCCTAAGGACGCAAAGATAAAAATGAAATTATACTTTCCAAACATGTTTCTCTTCTATGGCCTATTTAACATGGTTTCTCTTAGCTTGTTACATATGGCAATACAGGCAATTTCATATTTAGGTATGATCTTTTTCATGCCCTTCTAGACAATGACAGTATGTAGTAGTGTCTGATCACTAACAGTGATGTGATAAGATGTATGATTCTGGCATTTGCCTAGTACATGCCTTCCAAAATTTTCCTCTAAGTTTTACTTGTTAATGTCCTATGGTTTTTTTTTATTCCCCTTCTTTAGACAAAACTTGCCAATGGCACCTCTAGTATGATCGTACCCAAGCAAAGGAAACTCTCTGCAAGTTATGAGAAGGAGAAGGAGCTGTGCGTCAAATATTTTGAACAGTGGTCAGAGTCTGACCAGGTGGAATTTGTGGAACATCTCATATCTCAGATGTGTCACTACCAGCATGGACACATAAACTCATACCTCAAACCCATGCTACAGAGAGATTTCATAACTGCCTTGCCAGGTAGGTCATCTGGTTTTTGTAAACCATAAATTTTTCTATGCTTTGGCTATATTGCCTCTTCTTAAAGAAGAGTTTTGATAACATTGATAACGTGATAATATACTGATGGTATTGTTCTTGTCTAGGCATTTCCTCTTTTTAATATATTAACCTTATTTTATATTTGTCCCTTTTATTTGAGTCATCTCAAAGCAAAAGTATAATAAAGAAACATTTTCAAAATAATTATTTTATATAATAAATATATATTTATAAATATAGATGTAATGTGTTTATATAACATATTATATAAATATAAAATATAAAAATAAAAAATTTTAAATAATGGTTCTTTCATCCTCTTTGACCTCTTTGTGCCCTCATCATTCACCACAAAAAAATAGCCCTTTTTACCCAAATAGAACTCTTTCTAAGAGATGTCTTGTCTAGCGTATCTATAAGCAATCTTGGTTTCAAATTGTATTTGTTGTATATTAATAACTTATTTTTATAAGTTTGATCAGCAACCGGTATAAATTCTAGGACTGAATAGGAAACATTTTTAATTGAGAATCTTAGAAGGGTACCTCAGGAGCCTTGTTATGAAGTTAAATATGTAAACTCTAACTTTTACAACCTCAGTGTGCTTAGTAACCAAATAGCTATTGAAAAACTATGTAAATAAGTAGGCTATGAGAGACTTAGAAATCTTTTTTTTTTCTTTTATTCTAAGTGCTTAATGGTAGTAATCTAGTACACCAGAAAGGCATTATTACTTTAGGAAATGCTTCTCTTAGGTAAATATAAGGATTGTGACTACATTAAAATCAATTCTTAAAGAGAAACTAATATTGAAAAGACTTAATAAATTTCAGCTACATTATAGAATTAATTACCCTGAAGAATCTTATATGAAAATGTTTTTCAACCCCAAAAGTTAAATTCCAGCAAATATATTTTAATCATGTCTTGAAAATAAACATTTTAGTGCTGAATTTATAAATTTATCTCTCATTAAATAGAAAATAGGTTCTTACTGACTTCCAAAATTATTAGTATTAAACGCGTTTGATTGGTGGTTGGTCTTGAGCATGTTTATGCACACTTGCATTTATGATCCAGAGGGAAAAAATACACAAAATGAAGCTTAGTTGTTCTCTTTCTCTTATTTAGTAAACGTTTGTGCCTGAAGAAATTGGGAAAAGAAGAGGCTTTTCTGAACTGAGTCTGTAGAAAGCTTCTGATGTGACCTATAAAGAGAAATAACTTTGAATGTCTCTGTCTCACTTGTGAATTAGAACAGCAGCCAAGAGAAGGTTTATTGGTGCAACCATACTCTTTTATAGGCAACTACTCTTCAGAGGTCTCAGTACAGATTAGGATTGAATGGGTGGTAAAGAATTTTAATGGCAAGGCCTATCCAGTTAAAAAAAAAAAAAAGGGAATGACCCTAAACACATACATAAACAGAATATTCTCACACTTGTCCTATAATGTAGTTACTGTGATGCTGCCAAAATTATTGACCAGCTTAACAACAAACATTTATTAAATACCTAGTATGGGCCAAGTACTAAGGATACAAAGAAAAAATGCTACAGTCTCTGCCTTCAAGGAGCTTATGTTCTAGTAAAGAGTAACAACAGCAATAATGCCAACTAATCATGGGGCTCAGGAGAGGCCTCATGAATAATGTGACATTTATGCAGAGCCTTGAAAGGTGCTAGGGATGCCAAAAGTCAGAGGGAGAGCATTCCAGGCAGGAGGACCAGCTGGTGCAAAGAGGGAAAGAGCAGAGCAAGTAGGCTGGTTCGGCTGGAATGGAGAGTTCCTGTGGCAAAGTGATGGGAAGTCAGTCTGAAAGATAGGTTGGAGCAGGACTGTAAGAGGCTTCAGACACCAGAGGAGTCTCATTTTTATCCTATAGACAATAGGCCACTGAAGCTTTTTGAAAAGGAGAATGACATGACCAGACCTCTGCTGCTGGTAATATCATTTAGCAGCTGTAGGAAGAAAGGATTAGAGAAGGGATAGACTAGAGGCAAGGCAGCTAGTTAGGAGGTAATTGTAATGGTCCAGGTAGGATATAAACTGGGGTAGGGGATTAATGAATAGAGAGAAAGGGATGGATGTGAGATATATTGTGGAGGTCAAATACATAAGACGTGACAACTGATTGAACATGAAGGAGATTTTCAGGTCACATCACCAGTAAGATGAGGGACTAGATTGGACACACTTTCTCCAATCCTCACATCCTCTCAAACCTCTCCAAAATAGGGATTATGTGGAAATAAAGCAAGTTCAGCTGTGTCTATAATCTAAGCAAGAGATTTCAGACACAGATCCAACAGGCTGCATACAACCTGCACACTCAAAAGAATGGCCCAAGCAAGATTAAAATGCAATTAGGAAATATTTAACAAAATAAATATAAATAACAGTAAAACATAGACAGTGTTATTATGTAATGGGCCTTTGTTTCTATTTGAGTTTAACTACACCCAAGCAGATACTAAGAACCCTAAGAAGGTAACAACCCAGTGATCTAACAGCAGAGAAAGCTAATCCTTAATGAGTTCAGTCAGTATCTCCCTCACAGGCCCTGGCAGGGCTGCACAAACCAACTCATGGGCTTATAACAGAACTTATCTCTGTCTTCCACCCTCCCAACCTTTGCACTTGGGAAACCAAAAGCCAGAAACTTGTTCTGGCTGGAACTACAGCATGGCAGCACACTATTCTTCATCACTCAGCCAGAAAAGAAGGAACTGGACAGCCTATATGAGGTTCCACCAGGCCTGGGGAAAAAAAAGGGAAGGGGGAGACTGGCATCCACCTGTAGCCATTTCTTTCTTCTCCTGCCCCAGAAGACATTTAGGGCAGAGACCAAGGCTGCCAAAATTTGAATTCCCCCATATAAGAAGGACATCTGAGATAACTCAAGGTCCAACCCCTGGGAAAGTGTCATCAGAAGGGGGAGGGAGTAAGAAAGTGAGCACTAAAGGAAAAGATTGATAAAAATCTTGGGATTAAACTTTGTTAAAGACTTTGAGCACAAGCAGATATATCAATAGGGAAGATTTTAATAACAGAAAGGAAATATGACCTCCAGATCATCTAAACAAGTTCAGACATCCTATAATAAATATTGCAAAACAAAGTAAAATGTACCAACCAACACTTGATGAGGCAGAGAACTCTGTGCATTCCCAAGTGTGCATAGAACTATAGCAGGATGTTCCCAAATAGTTTAAGAGAGAAATATGAATTGTGAAAAGAGAATTTATGACCTGTACAGCAGTAGTAATTAGCAGGATAGAAAAACTTGAATCCATAGTGGCAAACCTCACCAAAGAAACAAAAAAGAGAATAATTTGGAATCCAAATTCCCTTAAGTAAAGAACAATCTGGAGAAGAGAAGCAAAAGGCAATAGTATTAAAATAAAACATCTCTATGAAAGCAAAAGATCTCCATCAAAGCAAAACATATTGATCTTGAGGACCAGATGCAAAGAGACAAAGGATTATAAGTATCCCAGAACAAAGTGTTGCACAGTTAGGTGATACAGTAGATAGAGTACTCGGCCTGGAATCACAAATACTTGTTTTCCTGAGGTCAAATCTGACTTCCAAAACTTAGTAGCTATGTGACCCCGGCAAGTCACTTAAACCTGTTTGCCTCAGTTTCCTCATTTGTAAAATGAGCCAGAAAAGGAAATGGCAAACCTCTCCACTATCTTTGCCAATAAAACCTCAAATAGAGTCATGAAGAGTCAGACACGACAGAAAAGGACTGAACAACAAAAAGAACAAAGTGCCAGTTGAAAGAATTCACAGAGGCAGCTAGGTGGCACAGTGGGCAGAGCACCAGCCCTGGAGTCAGGAGGACCTGAAGTCAAATGTGGCCTCAGACACTTGACACTTACCAGCTGTGTGACCGAGGGCAAGTCTCTTAACCCCATTGCCTAGCCAAAAAAAAAAAAAAATTACATATTCTCTCAAGGGGGGAGCATGCTATGCTGCAAAATCCAAGACACATAGTAGTTAAATTGAATTATATCAGTGACAAACAACGAATTCTGCAAGCAACTATAAAGGAAAGGAAATCTGAGTAACCTATGAGAAACCACAAGAGGGAATGGAATAATGTGTTCCCAGAAAACAAAGGAGCTCAAGATACAGCCCAAGCCAGTCAGTCAGTAAGCATTCATTAAATGCCTACTACGGTACAGACACTGTGCTAAGTGCTAGGGATAGGAAGAAAGGCAAAAGAAGGTCCCTGACCCAAGGAGTTCATAATCTAATGGCGAAGACAATAGGCAAACAAATAGGAACAAACAAACTATATAGAGGATAAGTACGAAATAATTAACATAGAGAAGGCATTAAATTTTTTCTCTTCTAAATTTATTTTATTTTTCAATTTAATAGTATTTTATTTTTTTTCTGATTACATGTAAATACAATTTTAAACATTCATTTTTTGAAAGATTTTGAGTTCCACATTTTTCTTCCTCCCTTCCCATCCCCCTCCCCAAGACAACAAACAAATCTGATATAGGTTATTTATGTGCAATCATGTAAAACATATTTCCACATTAGTTATGTTATGAAAAAAGAAACAGAACAAAAGGAAAAAAACAAGAAAATGAAAAAAAAGTTAAAATAGTATGCTTCAATTAGCATTCAGACTCCCATCAATTCTTTCTCTGGATGTGGATAGCATTTTCCATCATGAGTCTTTTTGGAATTGTCTGAAGAGAAAAATCTCTTCAGGGTACAGACCTACTAGTGGGATTGCTGGATCAAAGGTTTGATTGCCCTTTGGGCATAGTTCCGAAATTGCTCTCCAGAATGGTTGAATCATTTCACAACTCCACCAACAGTGCATTAGTGTCCCAATTTCCCACATCTCCAACATTTATCATTTTCCTTTTCTGTCATATTAGCCAATCTTTTAGGTGTGAGGTAGTACCTCAGAGTTGTTTTAATTTTCATCTCCCTAATCAGTGATGATTTAGATAATTTTTTCATATGACCATAGATAGATCTGATTTAGAAGGTATTAAAATTAAGAGGGGTTAGGGAAAAACTTCCTGGAGAAAGTGGGATTTTAGTTGGGCTAGGAAGGAAGGAGGCCAGGAAGCAAAGATGACAAGGGAGAGCATTCCAGCCATGGAGGACAGCCAGAAAAATGCCCAGAGCTGAGAGATGGAGTGCCTTGTTTCGTGAAACAGCAAGGAGGCCAGTGTCATTGGATCAGAGAGTATGGGGAGAGGGGGAGGTGGGGGGAGGAAACGTGGAGATAGGAGACTCACTTATAAAGTGCTTTGAGTGCCAAACAAGATTTTGCATTTGATCTATGGCTGCTACTCCTACAGACTTTCCAACTACAGAAGATTAAACCTATTCCTGCTCTCTTTGTCTTTTAGGGTTCTAATTTCAATTAGAAGAAATGTTTTATGATGGGCAATGGGGATCTTACAGTGCGTATAAGCTATAATATTGAATGGAGGGTGACGTGATCAGAAAATTAACTTGACAGCTAAATGGAGGATGGGCTGGAGTGAGTGAGAGACTTGAGACCTGGAGACCAAGTAAAAGGCTATTACAGTAATTCAAGTAATTCAGGGACCTGCACCAGGCTGCTAACAGTGTCAGAGGAGAGAAGGGCCATGTATGAAGATGTTATGGAGGCGACATCAATAGGACTCTGAACCAGATTGGCTATGGGGGTGAGAGAGAATGAAGAATCAAGGATGACGCCTAGATTTCGAACCTGGTTGACTGGGAGGATGGTGGTACCCTCAACAGTAATAGAGAAATTTGAAAGTGAAGATGTTTGGGAGGAAAGATAATGAGTTCGGTTTTGGTCATGTTGAGTTTAAGATGTCTGTGAGACATCAGTATGAGATGTTCAATAGGCAGTTGGAGGTGTGAATTAGGAGGTTTAGGAGAGAGGTTATAACTAGATCTAAGAAACCTCAGTATAGAAATAATAATTAAGTCATCAAGTGAAATAATATGGAGGGAGAGGAGAAGAGATCCCAGGCCAGAGCCCTGGAGGTCACCCACATTTAGCAAGCATGACTTAAATGAAGATGCAGTAACTGAAAAGGAGCAGGTCAGACAGCTAGGAGGTTTTCTACTACAGGAGAAAGTAGTGTCACAAAAACCTGAAAGAGGGTGATTGCAGAGAGGGTCAAGAAGCATGAGGATTGAGAAGAGACCATTAGATTTGGTAATTAAGAGATCATTGGTACCTTTGGAGAAAGCAGTTTTGGTTGATTGATGAGGTTGGAAGCTGGACTGTAGAAAATTAAGAAGAGTATGAAAGGAAAGGAAATTATAGATGACCTCAAAGAGTTTAACCAGGGAAGGAAAGAGAGATATGGGACAATAGCTAACAGGGAGGAATGGATCAAGTGAAGATTTTTTAAGAATAAGAGAGAGAGAGATGGGCATGTTTGTAGTCAGTAGGGAAGCAACCAGAAAACAGGGACAGACTGAACATAAGTAAAAGAGTGGGGATGATAGAGGGAACAATCTGCAGGAAAAGGTGGAATGAAATGGGATCACTTGTACATGTTTTCTTTGAGTGAAAAAGAGGTGAAGAGAAGATGGTGGCAGAAAACATTGTAGTGATGATGTGAGATGAAGAAGAAAGAAGAGGGAGCTCTCAGCTAATGGTCTCAATTTTTTTTCCATGAAAGAAGAATCAAGATTCTCAAGCTAAAAAGGTGGAGGGACTAGGAGTGATGGGAAATTTGAGAAGGGAGTGTCACAGAAATTCAGAAAGTATTCAAGAGGAGGGGGTAATCGATTATCCTTTCATTTTTAGTCATTTACTTTTTTTGTTTTACAGTGGTATTATTAAAACACAAAAAAACTACTTTTCTGTACTTACTAAAAAATCTCTACATATTCCTTGAACTTTTTTTCCCTCCTCCTCCTCTCCACTAAAATTTATCTCCAAAGATGGAAGGGCTGTGTCTTGTCAACTGGACTCCTGACCTGCACCTATGCTTCTTAAAGAGGGCATCCTTAACTTGCACCTGTATTTTCTCTGTCTCTCCCCACCTCTTACCACTTCTTTGTTGTCCCAAATACTACAATACAAAGCATACTAACCCTTTTCTCTGGATATGCAACCCCTACCCCTAGCACATTTTAAATATTAATGTTTTACAAAAGAGCTTTTGAACTGCTATAAAAAGAAATGAGAAATGACCCTAATATAAAGATTTTGGGAATCTGTAACACAGAGTGTGAGATGCCATCCATAGAACATCCCCATCCCCTAGTGCTGAAATCCATATAGATAGATGTGTATTGCTTTCTGGATTCCTTTTTATTTTTAATGTCTTGAGGGTTTTGCTGGTTGTTAACTTTAACTCCCTTATCCAAAGAAAGATGGAAAATATTGTTTGTTTCTGTAACCTTATAGAAAAATTATTAACACTCATTTTATCCAACTCTGTTCCAGAGAGAAACTGGACCACACTAGGGACAATGACATGTCCTTACAGTAGACCAAATGCTGTTTTGTCTTTAAAGGACCTTTGGAAAGGTGGGGCGGGGATCACTTCATATTCCCATTGTTGTTGTGTTTTTTCATAGCTCGAGGTTTAGATCACATTGCTGAGAACATTTTATCATACCTTGATGCCAAATCACTGTGTGCCGCTGAGCTTGTGTGCAAGGAGTGGTACCGAGTGACATCAGATGGAATGTTATGGAAGAAACTCATCGAGAGAATGGTCAGGACAGACTCTCTATGGAGAGGCCTGGCAGAACGGAGAGGATGGTGAGCTTTTTCAACTTTCCTGCTACTACAGAGCTTCAGGTACTGGGCATCTATAGCCATTGGAAGCCAGGTGGTGCCTCTTAATACATGGCCCAGTGGCCCAGCTTGCTTGTAGCAAAAATAGGAAGGGAAATCTTTTTTCTCATTCAATTCAATAATTTTTCTTGGCCCAATGCTCTTTAAATTATGTAAGGCAGAGCTAATGAAATCTTGCAAATAAGAGTAAAGAATCTGCTTGCCCTTTTAGCTCATATTCTGTAGTTTCATTTTACATTAACATCCAAGGTCATCTAATCTAACCTTCTCATTCTACAGATCAGAAAATTGAGTCCTAAAGTGATTAAGTAACTTGGCCAAAGTCATATAGGTAATAAGTGACAGAGACTGCATTTGAAGCTAGATCTTCTGATTCTGGTTTTCTCAGGATATTTTATAATTTAATCCCCAAATCCTGTTTTGGGGGGATTATCTGACTAATGGGCTCAAAGACTTCAAAAAAAGGATGTTTCACTAAAACTTTAAGCTGCTCCATTAACAGAAGACTAATATTTTCTTAAAACTTCCTTGCTTTGGGGAAAGTCATCCATATAGAATTTTCTGTCCAAGGGTATCTCTAGAATATTGACTACAAGAAAGCCAGATATGAATATTTCATAAACAAGATAAAAATGGTAGTTCATGCACTTTAGCAGGTATAAAAAATGGTATAAACATGTGTGTTCTCACATGTCTCCAAATCAGCATTATTGGTTATTCATCTTGTATCATAAAAAGGTGAAAAATTATTGACTATGAGGAATATTTTTAAATATAAAGATCTAAGAATATTTCTGAAACATGTAGATATTTTTGTGGTTGAAACTCAGTATTTAAACACATTAGTATTTCAGAAGGTTCTTTTATTCTCTTTGTCAGGAAAATTTCTAATAAAACCAGTTACCAGGGGCAGCTAGGTGGTACGGTGGATAGAACACCGGCCCTGGAGTCTGAAGGACCTGAGTTCAAATCTGGCCTCAAGACACACAACACTCACTAGCTGTGTGACTCTGGGCAAGTCACTTAACCCCAGTTGCCTCACCAAAAAAAATTTAAAAAACCAGTTGCCAAGGGCAATTTTCTAGGCATTTTTTTTTAAAAAACAAAAATTTCATTAACCAAAGGTATGTTTATTTCTATTAAGATTTTATATTTGCTGCCATAATATCACTCTTATAAGGCTTTTGTTTTCATAAGTAACACTATTCCTTGGCAACAAAGATTTGAATGCTGGGGGGCAGCTAGATGGCTCAATGGATAGAGCATTGGCCCTGGATTCAGCAGGATCTGAGTTCAAATCCAGCCTCAGGCACATTAACACTTACTAGCTGTGTGACCCTGGGCAAGTCACTTAACCCCAATTGCCTCGCCAAAAAAAAAAAAAAAAAAAAAGATTTGAATACTGCATAAGACAACACAAATGAAAACACAATCACATAATACTTTTACAAAGATGTCATCAGTACCACTAGGATCAGTCTGTCAAATAGGGAATTCTATTCAGTAGTTACTTATTAAGCTACCTACTATTTACAAGGTACTTATTGTGCTAGACCCTGGGATTGGAAAGCCACAAATGATATCATCCCTGCCCTCAGTTCTTTTGGCATAGTGTAGTTGGTTGCTTAGTGGTGGTTAGGTGGTGAAGTGGACAGAGCACTGAGCCTAGAGTCAGAAAGACCAGAGTTCAGATGTTATCTCAGACACTTACTAGGTGTGTGGCCCTGGGCAAGTCACTTAACCTCTGCCTAAAACTGGAGAAGAAAATGGCAAACCATTCCAGTACCTTTGCCAAGAAAACCCCATGGACAGTTGATAGAGTCACCACAGAGTCATACACAGCTGAACAACAACAACAAAAGTTGGTTGCTTCCGGTGTACTGACACTGCCAATACTAAAAATTCCACAACTAGAAATTGATTCCCATTCTTTTAGGTTAATACCGCTGGAAGCAGTAACACTTTAAAACTTATTTTAAGTTATTGGCATTTCAATGTGAATGCATAAGTTTTCATTAGGATAAGGAGCAGAAAAAGCTTGAAGAAAAACAGGTCACTAGGGGAAGTAGGAAACACCCAAAGCAAACTTCACATAATTAATAATTGTATTCAGGTCTGGTCCTGAATAAAATTATTTAATTATAGTTGCAGCCAAACATGCTCACTGGAAAATGTGTTTCATGCCTTTTCCAAGATATGAAATCCAGATCAACCAAGATTCCATACCAGCTCTATAGCTGCTACTCCTGCAGACTTTCCAACCACAGAAGATTAAACCTATTCCTGCTCTTTTTGTCTTTTAGGGTTCTAATTTGATTCTCTCTACTTCCACTCCATCTTGCTACCTCTACATCTACATCTGCTGCATCCCTCCTAACTTGATGTACCCCCATGAAATTAAAACTATTTTGATCATCACATCAAGACTCTGCATAATATTACTCATAACATAAAACCACTTTTTCAGTGCTGCTTCCATTTCTACATTTTCCTCTTCTCCCTCTCATGATTGATGTTTATCTCTCTCCTTATCACTTTTCCTTCCTTGTGCTTTATTCAAGCTTCCTTGAACAACTGCAGCAGCTTCCTCATGCCTTCCATCAGTCACTCCCTTCTTCCTTTGAAATATGTCCCAAAAAGCTCATCATTTCATTGAAGCCTTTCAGTGATATAACTTTGCCTGCACTCTGTCTTTGAAGCTTTCTTCAAATCCCTGCATCCAAAAAATAAATACAAACTACCAACGAAACTTTAGGCTCTAAGATGTAGCTTCCTCTCAGCAGTTGTATTTTATATCCAAATGGATTTGTTGGTCCACTTTAGATTGTACCCCCCCCAAGGCACAAATTCTGTCATTTTTCAGTTTCGTACAGTGCTGAGTACACTGTCTGTGCTCAATAATGATAAGTCTTAAAGTACAATAAAAGACCACTTGGGAAAAGCCCCATTTTCCTAATCAGCAGGCCACATTTTGTGATAACACTTTGCTCTTAATATTTAACATTTATCAAGTACCCACACTCTCATAGGTACTAGTGTTTCAAATAGATAGAAGTGGTCCCTATTGTCAAAGAACTTAACTTCCTAAAAGGATTCAGTATATGAAACAGAAACACCAGCAAAGAAGCATGCACACTTAGGATTTTTGACATCCAGGTGCCCTTTTCCCTAGCACTTTTGTTTGGTGACTGTTCAGATGCTAGATGAGAAGTCAGTTTTCTAGGAAGAAATGAGGATAATTAGTTATATATGTATGTTCCAGGATCATTGTGAAGCAATCAAGCATCATCTAGCATGAAACCTTATACATGGTATGGATTCATTGTTTACTCAGTGAATAAATGATGCCCTCCTATTGTGTTAAGCTAACTGCCTCAGGAAATGCAGTAGAAAAAAATGACAGCACTAACTTTGAGCATTTTGCATGCTCAAAGTTCCCTATGCCCTGTCTAGGTTGGTTCTTTTCTCAGCCATGACTTGAAGTGTTAGGACCCAAGCTATAGATGTAAATAGATACAAATGTACAAGTGTCCTTTTCCTTGACATACCTTGAATAGTGTTAGGATATGTGAAGGTTCCCCTGAGGTGCCTGTGTGCTAGGTGCTAGGAAGTGAAAATGAAGACAGGAGCTTGTTTGGGGTATGGTTGGCATTTACCGCTACTGTAAGCTCTTATTTCAAAACTATGATTAATTTTTATTATAAGGCAGCAATCCATTCACCCTCAATACACTGATAGGATAATTTTTTAAAGGAGGCACATTTTTGACCAATTTGCCCTTAAACATATTCCTTTTATGGCTTTCTTTTTGTAAGTATAAGCCCTCTCTGCCACCTTCTTTTTTTTCCAGATAAAATTATTTTGGCCTCTTCCTTACCAGCTTAGTATTCTGTATCAGCATAGACAATAGAGTTAGCTATCTTCCTAATAGGAAATTTTCTCAACTAATTTTCAAGGTGTATAATAAGGAGAGGGCAGGGGAGAGATACTCCTGGAGACATTGAACAATTAATTATATTGTAATGGAACTGTGGAGGGAGGAGTGGATGACTGGCCCAGAGAAAACAGCATTTCTCTAGTGCCAGGATTACACTCAGAGGCATTTCTGCCTGTCTTCACTTTGCAAGGCACTGTGCCAGTCATAACAGCAGTTAGTACGCCCATAGTGGGGTTTACTAGCTTCCACACCGTGTTTGGTGGGTCCTTAACTTCAGGATGAGGAATTAAATTTTTTACACAGCAGGAAGTGATTGCCATTTACTGAATTTTTTTGTAGCAAAGATCTAGCTTGGGATATGAGTATTGCAGAGATGTACTGTCATAAGGAAGGAGATGCTAACAAATGTTGCTTACTAGGAATCGAGTAAAGACAGGAAAACGTGTGTATGCATAGCTGGAAATACACCTGTGAAGGTTGATTTCTGCCTTAAAACTTGTAAGCATTTCTCTTCATCTTGCCTCCTGTCTACTGGTAGATACCCAGTGACCCCCTTTTGTTTTCTGTTAGAGTGAACTGAGTTCTCACTTTTAAACTATCTCTACATTGTCCAATAACATGTGAGTAACTGAGCACTCAAGGCAACTAAGCCCACATGGGTAAGGACCTAAAAAAGGCATCCTCCAGATCTATTAGAGTTATATTATGCTATTCCCAGTACTAGCATCCATTGATCTTGATGTCAACTTTACCTAGTGTAAAAAGGACTGTTGGCCATGCATTTTGATTCTCAGCTGCATCCACATGGTATATTCACCAATGAAACCATCCTTTTCAAAAGTGAAAGCCAATGTAATATTCACTTATCAGAATAATAAGTAGAATAGCATGTGAACACTAACAGTGTTAACTTTATCTCGACATTGTGCAGTTACTCTATCGTCTTGCATTAGAAATACTTGTAGCCAGTCATCTATGAAAGTAATAAAAAAGACTTTTACTACAAATAGAACTCAAGATTCCCACTATCCACAGCCCCAGAAACCAAGAAGTAAGCAAAGTACATTTTATTTGTGTGTTATTCTTGGCTGGAAATAACCCTGTTTTATTAGAAAACAAATAGCTGCTAATTGGTCTCTGTAAATAATGCAAAACACAGAGTCAACACTGTCTCAGAGTTATGTACTCCTTGCCTTAGAACTTCAGGAATCAAGATTACATTCATACCTTAATGGGTGGTTTTGAGGATCAAATTAAATCTGGGTATGAAAGTACTTTGAAAAAGTACAAAGTGCTATGTAAACAAAAGGTGAAATTATCACTAATAAATGTTTCTTGTCTTTTAGGGGGCAGTATTTATTCAAAAACAAACCTCCTGATGGAATTGCCCCTCCAAACTCTTTTTACAGAGCACTTTATCCTAAAATTATACAGGACATTGAGGTAAGAATCTATGTGGATTCTGCACAGGTATTTGTAAAATGTTAATGGAAACTGTTGGTTTGCTTCAGTAAGGATCTTGTGGCACATACATACTTGAGCCAAGGGATATAAAATTCATTAATTTGAGTTAAAAGGTCATTTTCTTAATAAGTGATTAAGATTCTTGCAGTCCAGAAAATCATGAGCCAGATCTTTAATCTTTCCATCACTGCCTATTAAACAGCCTTCTGGAGGTGCTTGATGCTTTTATCTCATATAATGGTGAGATCTGGTAAGTGCCCCTGAAAGATAATTGAAAGTTAAATTCAGACAATATTAACAAAAGCTCATCAGTTGAAATAGTAGATCCATATTCAGATAGAATGCTGAGCATATGAGGCTGATTAATATGGGACCTCTTTTGGCAGGGTCAGTTTCTAAAGTCCTAGAAAAACGAATGTCTAGGAACTGTGGCAGATGGAGAAGTGCTGTTAAGTCGACTTCTGAAGATAGAGGCATATTGCCTAGAAAACAAATTTCCAATTTGGTTCTAGTTCTGATAAGCATGAAGTGTGCGTCACCTGCCTTTCCTTGTCTTGGTCTTTTGCTTCTGTGACATCAGAAGAGAAGTCAAGTGATTTTGATTGGCCTAATTGCTGCCACTCTGTCACCCATCCCTCACAGACAATAGAATCTAACTGGCGTTGTGGAAGACACAGTTTACAGAGAATCCATTGCCGGAGTGAAACTAGCAAAGGAGTTTACTGTTTACAATATGATGATCAGAAGATAGTAAGTGGCCTTCGAGACAACACTATCAAGGTGAGTCTTCCTGTATGCTCAGTTAGCGAAGTTGAGGTAGAAAGGGGCAGCTGTCGCCCAAAGCAATTCAGAACATTAATAATAGTAACTTAACTCTGAAAGGCAGAGGACAATTTTTAGGGCTTTGGAATATACATCTCACCCCAAAACCTAAAGCGTTTACCTCATAAGTGCATGCATTTATCAGAAGAACCTGTATAAATTTATCAGATCCAGCTTGATGTATTCTGCTTCTACCCAAAATGGGCTTTCCTTACAGAGTGATTGGTCCTGCAGTAATTGCATACTATTTTTGTTCCTCACTGAAACAGATAAAATCTGTTTGATAACAAAACCACAGATGCCAAAAGTGTTTTTAAATTCTCAGCTTTACCTATAGAAAAAAGTACACTACACACTCTCGCATCAGTTTTAGCCTAACTACAAACTAAACTGTGCCATAATAAAACCAATAAGTCATTGCCGCATAGCCCACTGGCACAATGATCACAAGGGTCTGTACTCCTTGTTTGCCTTCCTAGATCTGGGATAAGAACACATTGGAGTGCAAGCGAATCCTCACAGGACACACAGGATCAGTCTTGTGCCTCCAGTATGACGAGAGGGTGATCATAACCGGGTCTTCTGATTCCACTGTCAGGTATAAGGGACAAAAGACAACTTGTTGGGGCTCTGAAACCTTTCCCTTCCACTCTTGTTTTCTTGCTGTCATTGAGATTAAGTAATTTTGCATATATCCTGAGGAACATGTTTCTAAAACTACATCTAAGGAACAATATAAAATCATGATATAAAATTCTAGAACTAGAAAGCTCTTTCCCAAAACAAAGCATATCATTTTGCATTTTTGCACATTTAAAAATACACATTCTAAGTTATGTAGTTACTGTTTATGCCAGAAAATAATAACCTTTCCACTCTGGCCAAGTAGTATTTAACTTGTCATCTTTATGGCAAACTTGTACATTCCTCTAGAAAAATACCTCACAGGAATTATATGTTCATATGACGAAGCGTTTCAGGTGGTGACAACCATAGTATGGCAGTACAACACTGCAGTTTAAATTTGTATAGGTGAGTGATACTCTCTTCTTGCTAGCCCCTCCCCTGCCATCCCTGCAGTTTTTAATTGCAAGCTTCACTAGGGGAGGGGGCATTCAATTTCCAGAGGCGTTAGTGATTTGATGACATGGCCATTATGCTGCTGGAGTCCAGTGTAGTTTGAGTTCTGGGTACCGACAACACTGCAGGAAACCTCTGTAAGGAATTTTGCCTTAAGCTAAAGGACTTAGCAAACATAATGCATCAAAAGTAACTTCTTTTTTTAAATGGAAAAGAAAGAAACCCCAGCCATCCACATTGTTAGACACTCTTGAGTTAAATGTTTACTATAACAAGTTATCCTCTGTGGAGAGAATAAGCTATTCCTATTTCTGGTCTGTTGACTTAAAGGCCTACACTACCTTAATCTTCATTGTCATCAACATCCAGCACTTATTGAGCATCCATAGGATGAGATACTTTTAAGGATTATATCCTTCAAAGAAGAAGGGAAAGAAATCTGTTATGGGATTGGTAAAGGGGAGAAAAGTGGACTAACAGCTATTCTGTAAACTCAGATAGCATTTGAAACAGTTTGATTCATGGAAGGCAATTCTTTGTCAACAGCACATACCGGCGCTAGCCTGAGTGAACAGGCACAGACACATATATGCATTCACACACATGCACGCACCCCTAGCTCCCATTGTTCATCAGAACCCCTTTTCTGAAGTCAATCTCAAGGCTTTAAATGAAGACTACAGTAGCTCTTCACCACAAAATCTTGTGAACCTTTATGTGTATTGTGGCATGAAGTTTTCTTCCATCCCAGTTCACTTTTTTCTTTCCAGAGTATGGGATGTAAATACAGGCGAAATGTTGAACACACTGATTCACCATTGTGAAGCAGTTCTTCATTTGCGTTTCAATAATGGAATGATGGTGACATGCTCCAAAGACCGCTCCATTGCTGTATGGGATATGGCCTCCCCCACTGATATCACCCTGCGAAGGGTGCTGGTAGGACATCGAGCTGCTGTTAATGTTGTGGACTTTGACGACAAGTACATAGTCTCTGCATCAGGAGACAGGACTATAAAGGTAAGAAATTCTAAGTACTGTTGGCCTGGAGACCAAGCCTTTGCCAACTGTTCCTCAGCTTAGAATAAGAAGAATTAACCTAAAAACTTTATCAAAGACAAGTTTATGTTTAAATATCACTTCAAGATGACTTTCCAGCCAATAATAGGGATTGACCCAGACTAAAATGATATTTAAGTTTAAAGATAAGATAGCTCTTCATTTCTGTTAGATGCTTCATTGCCATGATTTTGCTGAGTGTGGGAAGGACAGGTATAAGTTTTAAGTTCAAGAAAACATCTATAAGATTGAATTGGCCTCACAGTCTGCATTTATTTGGGAACTTCTCAGGCCATAAAAACCAGATGCAAATAAGTTCTAGGTTATTATGAATCAAAGACATACTACCCATATTAAAAAGATGACTTTGCCTACAAAATTAACTGTCCTAATGGCACAGGACTTGGGCTATACCACACCTGGAGCTTGCCAGTAAAAAGCCCCAAATGAACTACCAAATACTATTTTTTTGTCTCAGGTATGGAACACGAGTACTTGTGAATTTGTTAGGACCTTAAATGGCCACAAGCGAGGCATTGCCTGTCTGCAGTACAGAGATAGGCTAGTAGTGAGCGGCTCATCTGACAATACTATCAGGTGAGTAACAGATAACCCTCTCAGAAAAATTATAGCCCATTCCATTCACTTATCCCTATGGTTTCTTGGATCCACAGGTTACCCAAGTTTTAATGGTGGCATCATGTTTTCATTTTATTCTCTTTAGGACAATTTAAAAATAAAGCAAACCTCTAAATTATAAAAGATTTTCTTTAGTTCCTTGCAGGACATAGACTACTCCTGAGCAGAGTCGGGAAAGTAAAGTTTTTGTCGATGATCTCTTTTCTAGTAACTAAATGTTAAACCTATTTAAAGAGTATATAGCTTAGATAAAAGGAAAAAAAATACAATGGAGTTAGATAGCTAGATAAAAGTTGGGGGTACTTTAAGAATGAGATTTTCTTTTTCTAAAATTATCTCTGTGTGAAGTGAAAAATGCCAACCAAAGCCGAACATAGTAGTCTATGTATACCTGTAATCCCTGCTACTGGGGGAGACTGAGGATGGTAGATCACTTGAGCTAAGAAGTTCTGGGCTGCACTAGGGTAAGGCATTAGGGTATCTGCACTGAGTCAGGCACCAATATGGTGAGCCCCTGGAAGTGAAAACAACACTAGGTTGCCTAAGGAGAAGCGAATCAGCTCATGCTGAAAACACAGCCAGTCAAAGCTGCCATGTCAAACAAGAGTGGGAATAGGCCTGTGAGAGGCTATTGTACTTCCAGCCTGGGCAAGTTAGGGAGACCCACTCTCCAAAAGAGAAGTGCAAACCAAGAAGCCAAAGGTTTCTTCTCTCTACCACTGTTCAAAAAGATTTCTGTTTCCCCTGAAGAATTCATACAGAGAACATGTCATTCAAACACCACATACTTTACTGGCAATTTCATTTTTCCCTCTGTTACTAAAGATATATGTGTTGGCAATTATAAAGAATCTGAAGAATTAAATATTGATTTGATGTTCTTACTTCATAAAGATGTGGACACAAATGTGACTGAGATTTTGGAAGATTCTTCCATTCCTTTCACTTCGTAGGGTAAGATGTGAGGTGTTGAATATAGTCATCCTGTCTAATAGAATTGTCTTACTTTACATATAATTTGATAGATTAAACGTAAAGCATGCAGTCGTTTTAAATTAATTTTAGTGTATATACATAAATATATATGTATATGTATATACACATATTTGTGTCTTTAAGAAGTTCCTTTCTAATTTAATTCAATGTAAAGGTTTTTCTTCTTACACTATACCATAGAGAAACAAACAAAAAAAAAGTCAGCCTCTATGTATAATTAAACCAAATTGTGTGGATGTATATTAGAGATACTTTGTAAGGGAAGGAAATGGTTCATCTACGGTTCTCATTGTTGTTTTCAGAGGGCACTACCTACTGGTGATTCATTCACTTTCCAGGCAGCCTTGTACACATTTGACCAGTTTATGCCTAAGAAAACCTAATTGTATGATTGTATACTCTTCAGTGACTGAAAATCCATGCTACACTTGAGCTGAGAATAACTTTCCTACCTACCTTAATCAGACCAAAAGGAAATATATTTTATTAACAGCATTAAAAAGTATTTGTATTCATTGTTAGGGGTCAGAACTGTAAGATTTGGTTTGAAGGAGGAGAGGAGAGGAGAGTGTTGTTTTTTAAGGGCAAGAAAATATCTGTAATATTGGACTAGCCTTAAATTTAAGGGGTGGAGGGGAGTTGCTTTTGGAACTACTGAATATTAAAATAGTTCATACACGTATAGGAAGGGATTAATTTTACCATTAAATAAAGGTAAATCAAACTGTGCAGTGTTTTTTATACTGGATGATGACTGTGGGAAAAGTATTCTTGTTTCCTAATCATGAAAACAAGCATTTGCTTTTCTAAAATGGTCTTAAATTATAAAAGCCAGAGTGTTCTAAGTTATCATTGTGGTGTATTTTTAAAACAGCAAAACTCACCTAGGTGAATTTCAATGCCTATATAAATATTAATTTCTTGGTCATTCACTAAGTCATATAGTATTTAAAGATGATGGGTAGACACATATGAAATTACTGATTTCATTTGTGATTTTTTTTAAGCTTCCAAGTGATTTGTAAATGTTTCCCGTTTGCCCTTTTTTTTTATAAAGAAGTTTATGTATCCAATCTCTCCAAATTGGTTTTTATATTTCATAGAATAAAATTTTCTAATGTGCTCTGCTTTACATATATACATATATATGTATATATATATGTATATACGTGTGTGTGTGTGTGTGTGTGTGTGTATATATATATATATATATTAAGGCAGTTGGGTTTCAGTGACTTGCCCAGGGTCACACAACTAGTAAACGTAAGAGGTCAGATTTGAACTCAGGTCCTCCAGACTCCAGGACTGGTGCTCTATCTACTGTGCCACCTCGCTGCCCTTTAATGAGCTCTACTCGAAAAAAAAAAAGTTTGAACTAGCTTCACAGTAGTCTGCATCTTCATGGGAACTTCTCAGGCCATCATAACCAGATGTAAATTAAGTTCTGAGCTATTCTGAATCAAAAATTGTGCTATCATTATTAAAACGATTATTTCCCTTGTCATTCAGTACTATCTATGCCCTAATCCTTGTTGGTAAGCATTATTTATGTTTATGGTAGGTTTTATGATTATAATCCATGTTCTCTGAAATGCACTTGGGTTTCTTCCTTTACTCTCTTTTTCAGGTTGTGGGACATAGAGTGTGGAGCATGTTTACGAGTGCTAGAGGGCCATGAGGAACTGGTGCGCTGTATTCGATTTGATAACAAGAGGATAGTCAGTGGGGCCTATGATGGGTGAGATTTTCAACAAGGTTCAGAAAATCTGCCTCCCTCTATCCCCCCTACCTTAAGATATTAAAGGTAGAGTTACTCTCTTTGATAGCAGTGGGTTGCTGCTTCCATTATAGGGTATCTCTTTGGCTTAGCATCTTTCTCATAACAATTACTCTCAAGCTTTGTAGGACCCTATGCCCAAAGCTTGTTCTGTCTCCAAGTTATTTTGGTTACTAGCATGACCATATACAGAATTTATAATGCAAATGAAAGCCTTAATAGCAAATGTAGAAAAGGCCTAGTAAGTAAAACAGCCATTGTATGAATAAAGATTAATGAAAGCGCAGTCCCCCTGCCAAGCCTTAAACACAGAAAGGGTCAATAGTTGTGAAATTTGGTTGATACCCTTTGCATTTAGCCTTCTTCAGCTGACTTCCAAAAGTACTGCTCTGTTTTGATCCATTTTAACTTATTTGTCCAAATATTTCAGTAGTAACTATAAGTTACAGTACCCACTTGTGTCACATAGATTACTAGTTAAATGCACTCAGTAAATATTTGATTAATTAGAGTTATAAAAGGACTCTGGTTACTTCTGTTTAGGTTGTCTGACTCAAAAAGGCTATGACTTAGTCTTAAGACATTTTTTAAAATATTCATAGAATAATTAGCAGCATTTCCTTAGATCTTCAATTGCCTACACTAATAATGTCCATCCATTTGCTAATGTAGTAGTTGCTTATTCCTCTATGTCAGTCATCATCATTACCCCCATGGGAAATTGTTTATTAGTTTTGGGATGGTAAATTCCAGATGTTAAAATCTAAGGCTGTTTTCTCTTGTACTACTTCCCATTGCCAACCACCATTCTTTTGATTTTGTCCAATATTACCTTGTGTATATTAGAGATTCCCTTTACATGAAGAAGTATTTTATGACTGATTAATGAAATTGTTAGACATTTCATAGTTAAATAAGAATAAGAGAGTATACAAATGTAAACTCCAGGGCTTTTAAGTGATCGCCTGTTCCCAAGCACATATAATTAGTGCTGTTCTGTGAATCAGCCAGCAAAGAAAGAAACCAAAAGTAGAAGTTCCTGGGTTCTAATTAAGCTGTTGTCTCACCAGATGCCTGATGTCAAATATCTCTTTTTTACCCTATCCAGGTTTGATGTAAGCTTTCCATCTGTCCATGTCCTGTTTAGTGAAGCTCACCTGTTTCTCATTCTTATGTTAACCACATACTTTTTTCCCTGTTAAGCTCTACCCAAGAGTGAATGGAAAAGTCATGTCTTGAGAAAAGAAAAGTTTATATGTATTACCACAAGCTAAATTTATCATATAAGCTCCATTCACTGTAAATTTCTGCTGTTCCTCTTCCCTGCTCCTTAAATTTTGCTTTTAACAAAAGATTTTTGTGGTTGTTTCTTTTTTTGATCCATAGAAAAATTAAAGTATGGGATCTTGTAGCTGCTCTGGACCCCCGTGCTCCTGCAGGAACTCTCTGTCTTCGGACCCTTGTGGTAAGAACTTTATTTGGGGTCAAGAATTAGGAAACAAGTTAGAAATGGAGCATTGGGTTGTATTTGATAGCTGAACCTACAAAACATAGGACCAAATGAGAAAGGCAGCATATACGTGACAATAAAGTATTTTTATGTAGTGCTTCTCATCCAAAAGTGCGTGGAGTGGAATGTGGCAGCTGTTTAACAGCTGCACAGCAACTCAACACAACAGTTTAATACAGGAAGTGAATAAGAATTCTGTATCCACTAGAAACTGCAGGGGGTACTTAGGGAAAGAGAATATAGTTACCCACATTGGAACATGTCCAGTGTGTGAGGACCAGCACACCAGCTCCAACACAAAGTGCTGTGGGAATTGAAATGACCCCTGTCCGCAGGCCCCCTCATATACACGCAGTGGTCACCCCTCCTTGGTTATATATCATGTTCAAGAGATAGTGCCTCTGACAACATGACTCCCTCCTCATTTCTGTGAGATTTGCAAACCCCTGCCTCCCTGTTCATAGCATTGCATTTGGGGAGTTTTAAAAAGCACTGACTGAGAAGGAAGAGCATCACCTTCCAAAATCACTAGCTTTACATTCTGTTGTTTGGCAGGTGCGTGTATTGGAAAATGTTAATGGCCTTAGGCTGAAAACTTCTCCTCTTAAGCTTAGAGAACTGAGAAGGAAGTGAAGACTCTTGTACTTTTGAGAACTTGGAAAAGCAAGAACCCAGAATGAGTCCTCTCTGAATACCTTGTCTCACGGCCTGCCTTTTTTGGGTGCTTAAAGTCCATTTTCTCCCTATTAGCAATGTCCCCTGTGTGCATGCATGTGTATTTTTCACTCATGCTTTGTAAACTTATTTACCTTCAGTAGTAAATATAGTTTTCAAGAAAACTTGGATTTAAGTCCTACCTCAGACACTTGTTAGATATGTGACCCTGGGCAAGTCACTTATCCTTTCTGTGTTTTGGTTTCTTCATAAAATGAAGGGGTTGGACTCAATGAGCACTGAGGCCTCTTCCAACTCTAAAATCTGTGATCCTAACTACATGTTATTTTGGCATCATTCAACAAAAACCCTCTAAATTATTCCTATACTTTAACCCTTACAAATGAAATTTATTTCGCTCATCTCATTTTAGTTGAACTTAACCACATAATATCCAGCGATATCTTATTTTAGAAAAACAAAACAGGAACCCCACACACACATTTTAAAAGGTAGCCAAATGGCTTTTCTTAATAATAACCTATTATTGTAACATTGTATGTAGATACTTCAGGGTTTGCATTGGTTTAACGTGGCTGTTTGTCTCTCCATACATACTGTTCACGCAGCTGTGATTCCTAGGGAAGCATAGTAATCTGTTTGCTTTAAGAAGTATACTTTGGATCTGCATTTTTAAATTCATCGCTTTCCTTAGAAAACAAAGGTCCACAGTAAGGATAATAACAAGTGAGACCTGTGTCCCATATTGCAATCTGTATCTCCTGGACTGGGCAGGTCAAAGAGGGGGAAAAAAAGAAGAGTCTGTAGGTTTAAATGAGAAAGTGTTCCCACTGAAAGTGATATAGGTCATATCAGTGCAAAGAGGAGATACTTTAAAGCTTGATTGTATCTGTTTGGTAGAGATTCTTTGTATATATTTACAAAGAAAGAAATTTTTTGAAGACTTTCATGACTGTAGAGAGTCCTTAAGAGAATTCCTTTAGAAGTTCAAGGCTCATCCTTCCCTTTTGGAGCCCAAGATACCGTCTTGTCCTTTTTCTTGTCCATAGCTTAAAATCCATTTGGGAGTTATGAAGGGTCACAGTACATTTAGTGAAAAAATAAAGTAGTTGTCTGCTGGATTTCAATTTGACTGAGCTCTCTAAGCATGAGAAATTGTGAATTGGTAGTAATGTATATGACTCAAACCACAAAGAGGGGAGATTGAAAGAAAGGAAGACTCTATGAAAACAGGCATCCAGATACTCTCTGGGGATTTACTGTTCTTATCTCAGTTTCAAGAAATGCACTGTGACAGGGTAGCTCCCCTGGCCTGTTAAAATGCAGGTATTAAAGGAATCCTATCAGTGGTGACTTTTTGAAGGCACTGAACAAAACTGACCTGACAAACTTTATTGTCATTTTTAAGAACAACAACATTAATGTCCAGTGAAAAGGCAGAAGGAGGAAGAAACTGGACACCAAAAAATTGACTTTTTAAATATACCAGGCCTAGTGGCAATGATGGAGTGGGCAGAACATGGTTTTCAGAATTGTCAGTAGCTCTAGCTAAAGGGCAACCTTCAGTCTATTTACCCCTCCTTCTTTGTTTCACATAGCCTCCAGAGTCAAACCCAGCTCATACTGAAGATAGGAAACCTCCTACTGTTTGTGTTCAATTTTCAAACAGTAGGAGCAAGTCCACAGATAACAAATGCTCTCTGCAGGCCAGTTCCCTTTTATGTTTTTCCCTCCCCGACTCCACGAGCTTATAGCAATTTCTGAAGCTGAAATAGAATAGTACAGTTTTCCGTGGAGAAGCCTTTTTTTTTTTTTGTCCATCCTTTTTGATACTGGAAGTCTAGACTATTATTCCCAGCCAAGAACAACAGGAGGAAAAAAACTCTTGGTGCTTAGTTTCGCCAGTGCTCGGTGTTTAGGTGGTACTTCCTCCTTGTACTGTGGGAGAGAAGAAGCAAGTCTGTAGGAATGCTGAACTCTGTTTTAGTTCACACATGGTATTTAAATTTATAGTTGATTAAAGCTATAGTAAACCTATACATAGGAAGGAAAGAAGAAAAGAAGAAAGAAACAAAGAGGCATTAGGAAGGCATGTACTATATTTTATTTAAATTTTATATTTCTCACATAACACTCACTAACTGTGTAACTCTGGGCAAGTCACTTAACCCCAGTTGCCTCACCTAAATAAATAAATAAACAAACAAACAAATAAATAAATAAAGCTTTGAGACAGCTAGGTAGCACAATGGATAGACCTCTGGCCTTGGAGTCAGGAGGACCTGACTTCAAATCTAGCCTCAGACACTTGATACTTACTAGTTGTGTGACCATGGGCAAGTCACTTAACCCCAATTGCCTCACCAAAAAGAAAAAAAATTTCTATTTTCCATAATAATTAAAATCCAGTGTTCTCCACTCAGTTCTCCACGTGCTTAATAAATGTTTATTGAATTGAAAATGGATAAGAGAGAATAATGTAATGCTTTTACTGTTTGAACTCTAGAATATCATTCTGATCTAGGCTTATTGTTGCCAAATCTTCATTCTGTTTTCACCTGCCTTGAATCCCAATTAAATCCATTTTTGTGCATGTCCTTAGAACTGCTAGTGAAGAATCATTCTTGGCAGCTGCCTTTGGACATGCTATGGTGTTTTCATACTGCATTTCTATTCCATTAGTCCAGACCAGTGCAAGCATTTTTCTGTTTCTTGGTTATTCTCCATTGCTACTTTTCCAGAAGGGATCAGGGAGCATCTTGTTGAAAAACTAGAGAAGCTTACTGCCTAGATCCCTGAAGAAATTCTAATGGTAGGCTATAAAACAATGTAGGCTTCTTTTTTTTTTTTCTGCCTGTTTAGGAGCATTCAGGAAGAGTTTTCCGACTCCAGTTTGATGAATTCCAGATTGTCAGTAGTTCACATGATGACACAATCCTCATCTGGGATTTCCTAAATGACCCAGCTGCTCCAGCTGAACCACCTCGATCCCCTTCTCGCACATACACCTACGTCTCCAGATAAATAATCATACATTGACCTCACACTTGCACAGGTAGGAACAATGGTTGCGTATCTACTTCTGCATGTGAGTGTTAGAAGATGTGGAAGCACAGGCAAAGCACAACTTTTTCCTGAGTAACCGAAAGTTTTGGGGCTGCCTTATCCAATATTACCTTTGGGTAATGTAGTTCTTATTCCAGATGATTCTGGAAGAATTACTCTTTTCCCCAAAATAAGTCTGGTTTTTTGGGGGGTTTTTTGTATCCTAAATAGGATTTGGGATACATTCTGCCATCTTTAAACCAATGATGTCTCCCCTTTTACTACATTTAAAGTGGAAGCCCCGCTTTTGTGTGGAGTAAATAAGTTTGTAATGATTTCCAGATGACTAGAGTGTGAAGTTTATGTCTGTGGTGACATCTAAATAACGTTTTGAGGAACAGTGAAAAATGTGGAGGAAAGTGGTAAAGGTAATGGGATAAGGATCCTTTCACTTTTACAACACTAATTTTGATCTGCTCCATATCGTAAATCAGTAACTATTCTAGGAGAACTACCTTTACACTGACCAAATGATTTGGAAAACTTGGGGAAATACATTGGTTTCAGAGTAAGTAGAACAGGATAATATCTGGTTCAAGTTCCACTACTAATGAGCCTTGTGACCTTGAGAATCTGTGGTCTTCAGGGTAAAAACCAATATCTTTTTTTTTTTAATTTAGTATTTTATTTCCCCCCAGTTACATGTAAAAACAATTTTAACATTTATTTTTTAAACTTGAAGTTCCAAATTCTCTCCCTTCCTCCCTCCTCACTCCGCCTCATTCAGAAGGCAAGTAATTTGATATAGGTTATACATGTATAGTCATGCAAAACACTTCCATAATAGTCATGTTGTGAAAGACTATTTCCCTCCATCCTGTCCCCCCCCATTTATTCTGTTCTTTCTCTCCTTTCACCCTGTCCCTCCTCAAAAGTATTTTGCTTCTGACTACACCCTCCCCTAATCTGCCCTCCCTTCTGTCACCCCCCCTTTTCTCATCCTCTTCCCCCCTACTTTCCTGTAAGGTAAGATAGATTTCTATACCCAGTTGACTGTGTATATTATTCCCTTTTTGAGCCAGTTCTTATGAGAGTACGGTTCACTCACTCCTCCTCACCTCCTCCCTCTTCCCCTCCACTGTAAAAGCTTTTTCTTGCCTTTTATGTGAGATTATTTACCCCATTCTACCTCTCCCTTTCTCCCAGTACATTCCTCTCTCTCACCCTTTAGTTTTATTTTTTAGATGTCATCCCTTCATATTTAACACACCCTGTGCCCTCTGTCTCTCTCTCTATATATATATATATTTATATATATATGTATATATATATTTCCTCCAACTACCCTAATAATGAGAAAGGTCTTATGAGTTACAAATAACATCTCTCCATGTAGGAATGTAAACAGTTCAATAAGTCCTTTATGATTTCTCTTTCCTGTTTACCTTTTCATGCTTCTCTTGAATCTTATATTTGAAAGTAAAATTTTCTATTTAGATCTGGTCTTTTCTCAAGAATGCTTAAAATTCCTCTATCTCATTGAGTGCCCATTTTTTTCCCCTCATGGATTATATTCAGTTTTGCTGGGCAGGTGATTCTCGGTTGTAATCCTGGCTCCTTTGCCCTCTAGAATATCATATCCCAAGCCCTCCAATCTTTTAGTGTAGAAGCTGCTAAATCTATTATCCTGACTGTGGTTCCACAATACTTGTTTCTTTTTTGGCTGCTTGCAATATTTTCTCCTTGACCTAGGAACTCTGGAATTTGGCTGTAATATTCCTGGCAGTTTTCATTTTGGGATCTCATTCAAGAGGTGATTGATGGATTCTTTCAATTTCTGTTTTACCCTCTGGTTCAGATGATGTCTAGGCTCTTTTTTTGATTATGGCTCTCAGGTAGTCCAATAATTTTTTAATTATCTCTCCTGAATCTGTTTTCCAGGTCAGTTGTTTTTCCAATGAGATATTTCACATTTTTCCTATTTTTTCATTCTTTTGGTTTTGTTTTATGATTTCTCATAAACATTAGCTTCCATTTGTTCCATACTAATTTTTAATGAATTATATTCTTCAGTGAGCTTTTGGACTTCTTTTTCCATTTGGCCAATTCTGCTTTTGAAGGCATTTTTCTCCTTATTGGCTTTTTGGCTTTACCATTTAGCCTAGTCTGTTTTTTGAAGTGTTATTTTCTTCAATATTTTTTTGTATCTCCTTTATCAAGCTGTTGACTTGTTTTTTGCATCACTTTCATTTCTCTTCCCATTTTTTCCTGTACCTCTCTTACTTGTTTTTCAGAATCCTTTTTGAGCTCTTCCATGGCCTGGGACCAATTCATAGTTTTCTTGGGGACTTTGGATGTAGGAACTTTGACTTTGTTGTCTTCTTCTGAGTGTGTGTTTTGGTCTTCCTTATCACCAAAATAAGTTTCTGTAGTCAGAGTTTTTTCCATTATTTGCTCATTTTCCCAGCCTATTAGTTGACTTTTTAACTCTTTGTTAAGGTAGAGCTCTACTTCCAGGGTGGAGGGCGAATTGTCCCAAGCTTCAGGGGTTTTGTGTAGCTGTATTCAGAGAGACTTCTAAGGAGCTGTAAGTTGTCAGTTCTTCCAAGGTGGTATGATCTAAGGAGAGCTGTTTACTCCTCTCCTGGCCTGTGCTCTGGTCTGTGAGTGACCACAAGCATTCTTTTCTCCCCTGGAACTGTGAGGAGGGTACCCCTCCACTGCTGCTGCAAACTCTGCTATGCTAGCGCTCCTCCTTGCCCTGGGACTGCCACCCAGGCCTGTAACCAGGATCCGAGTATGGGCAAAGCAACAGAGTCCTGCCTCAGTGCTAGCAAAGAGACCCCTGTAATCTCCTTGTGACCAGTTGTTTGGACCACCCCTCCCCTTACCATTTGTGGGCTGAGAGCTCTGGAAACAGCCACTGCCCCTGCTGATTTAGTCACTCTGAAGGCCTGCTCCTGGTTTCCTGGGGCCAGGGCTGTGCTGGCATGGCCCACACGGAACTGCACTCCACTGTCACCCAGGGTCCGACAGACCTTTTCTGCTGACCTTCTAAGTTGTCTTTGGCATCTGTGGGCTGAGAAGTCTGGAAACCACCACTGCTGCTGGTGATTCAGTCACTCTCTACAAACCTATATTTTATTGGGCTCTAAAAAGAAAAGAAAATTTTGATTTTTAAATACCTTGGAAACTAAAAGTATTAGCTGTGGCTCTTTTTTGTATTGCTTGGTTTAAATCTGGTCATAATACATTATGACAACAAGGAACCCTTTTAACCAAGTATATATCACATGTCGTAGAGCTATACTCCCTTGAAATTGTGACATGTATAGTCTAGCCATGTTTATTTGGTTCCCATGATCTGAGATCCCACTTTATCAATACCATTTGATTACAAAAGCCAGGTGCCAAGGCTTCAGCTCTCTCCCCTAATCCATCTTCAAATTAGGGCCGGGCCTTATTACCTTGAAATTGTCTGTTTGGGGAGAGTTAAGGAAGACCCATTATCAGTCGTTTCCAGCCTCTCTCTTAGGCATGAAGAGGTCATAAGATATCCAGATTCTTAAGATTACTGTAGATACAGATCTTCTCTGATCCAGATAAGTTCATTCAGATATTTGAGATTGTCCTGTGTCTAGAAGTACTGCCTTCTGAATAAATGATAAAATGCCATATAACTCACTAGTCCCTTCAGTTATCCAAAAGTACCTTCAGCCTCCTTATCTCCCATAACCTAGCAGTCTACATCATCAACACACAGAGGTCACATCCACAATAGTTTTGCTTCAGCCATCAAAAACTGCAAAATTGTTTTATCACATCATAATCTATCATTTCATCACTCCTTATTCTTCTTCCTGAACCTATGCTCCATCCTTATCAAGACCTGACTTCTCCACATCTGAGTACTCTTCTCAGGCCATCACCTCGAATCTAACCTTACTTCTCGTGCTTCATAGTTCAGCCTTATAGTTCAGAGGAGGAACCAGATTAAAATGTCATTGAGAAATGTTTAACAAAATAAATAAAAGACAATAAAACATAGATGAGGTTAATTTTTAGTTTTCTAAGTATGCAATCTGCAAGGATTCCTTTCTGTTTGAGTTTGACACTGCTGTTGTAGTTAACCACTTCAATTTCATTCTATCCTCTGCTTCTTAATCCTTTGCCTTCCTGTCCTGTCATCACCCACACCTTACCAAACCCCAACCCTGGGTTAATCAGATCATCTGCCTTTTTAACTCCTACTGGTGTTGGAGGAAATCATACAACCAAACCAAGGCCACTGCAATTTTGTTATCTAATATCACCTGGTCCCTCACCACAACAAGACAGTCATTTTACTTCTCTCTTTTGCAGTCCGCACAGAGACTTCTGTCCTCAAGCCTCCCACACCATGCCCTCATCCTTCCCTCACAGCTGAGGGACCCTGATTTATACTTTACTAAGAAAATAAAGATTATTCACCATTAACTCTTATCTTCTCTCCTTTTTCTGCATTTCAAAACCCCTTGATAGTATCCTGCATTCTTTCCACCTTTACTCTTTCTTCTGCTGAAGAAGTGACCCTTTTCTCCAAAGTCACCCCTTCTCCATGTACCCTTGATCCCACCTTTTCTATCACATGCACCCTACAATCATTCCCCCACTTTGTCTAATCTTCAGTGTCTCCCTATATACTAGTTTTCCTTACTTCATACAAACACGAGACCATGACTAAACTCTACCATCTCCTCAAGCTATCTTCCTATATCTCTCCTTCCTTTCACAACCAAACTCCTAGAAATAATGGCCTACCCTATTGTCTTTACTTCCCCTATCTCACAAATTTCTCAACCCTTTGCTATTTGGCTTCTGAAATAAGAATATTTTTGGACAAGGTCAGTGTGGAGATTTGTTGTGCTTCCCTATGCATCTTTACTGTTTTGTTGTCATTGTATTAATTGCCCTCCTGGTTCTGTTCACTTCACTCTACATTAGTTGATACAGATCTTCTCAGGTTTTTCT